TTTTCTTTTGGGGGTTTGTTTGTTGGTTGGTTTTGGTTTTATCAGCTTCGGTAGGAGAGTGCTTTGCCTTTGGCTACCAGAGGAATTCCCCCTCAGCTTCCAGAGGTGGTTAGGCTGACATTTCTACTCCTGCCACACTTGGCCCAGAGTTATTTTCAATCACAACATCTAACATGTACTTCAGCCATTATTTTGCATAAAAWGAAAACACAAACTTTGGCCACATCTTTAATTAGTTACATGCCCAGTCTTATCTCCTTTAGTGATGTGCTCTTTCTTAACTTTGTTGCTCTGTTTCTGAAGGTATTTATTGGGGTGCTCTAGTTACAAGTAAAACTCTTTTCTCCTGSTAATGAATCTGGAATTGTCTTGTGTTGTATGCTATTGTTTAGGAATTCCCTTTTATAAATATTTCAAGATGACAGCTATGCAAATCTACACTTCTATTTATATGTAGTCCTTTTAAACAGGGTATTTATGCAAACTCTTCTTAACAAYCTTTAAAATCCAGTGCAATTATGTGCAATTATCTTTAAATATTTGATTGTGCAGGGATGAAGGTTTACATTGACAGCRCCACTATTTATAAACCTCTTAGAGATGAAAAGCAGTAATTTGCCCTGAAGACCTAGCTCTTAAACCTATGTGAACCATTAAAAATTTCTGCCTCAAGACTGACTTATGTTAAATCTCACATTCAAAATTAGCCTTTCTGGTATAATGAGAGCATTATGCTGCTAAATCTTTACTGTGTATCTTTAGGATACACCATCCACATACAATGTAAAACATATCTTTAGGATGTACCAACCTACAGGCCTCATAGTAGGCTACGGATGTGCAGTACAGTGCTAAGTATGTGTAATGCCGATAAAGCTGTAAAATAAAAAACTGAATAGCAATAACAGATTCTCTGCGGGTTTATTTTTTATGTGCTGCATAGTGCAGGGCAAAGTCTGTCACTAAGTGATGGCTCTTTTTAAGGAGACAATTTCCATGTATATTGTAATTTTATCCACCTCTCAGCTGAGCTGCAGTCACAGTCTTAAGTTACTTTCTACAAAGTCTTCCACCAGTAACCCGTGTTTTATTCTTCAACAGTTCACTACATACTGTGCCTCTTGCTCTTCAGCCAGCAAGGAGAAATATCTAAGCAATTCTTTTAATACTTAGGGATAATAGTAAAATTTTCCTTTTTTTTTTTTTTGTTTTTATTTTGTCCCAGATGAACTCTGTTGTTTATGGAGGAAAGCCTTCATCTATGGTTTGGCATGTCAGTGCTACCATCAGCTCAAGCCTTGAACTCCCACATTCACAATTACCAGGTGTTTTCACTGTTCCCCTGCCCCTTTAGCCTTGGACAGGTATTGCCTATGAATCTTTCCCCAATTAGTTTTACCACATTAAAAATACAGTGTTCACCACTGTTGTGTGCAAAAGTGACTGCGACTTATTCTTTCTCTGGACTGTGTGGGTGTAACTAGATCCTGCATGTAAAATAGTGATGGGAGCATGATTGCTTCTGTCTATGCAGAGCATCAAAGTTTAATAGTGATGTAATTGACTTCTCTTCAGCTCAGTGTTCCATCTAATAAGTTGTTGCCGGGGAACTTGAAATGCAGAGCGTGTTTGATTCATGCAGTCCAAAACTCACTGTCTCTTTACACTCATGAATGGGTATCACGATGCATAAATACTTCAACTGCTTTAAACAGCATCATCTAGAGTGTATGTTATCAAAAAAGGAAAAGCAGATATCAAGTTTAGTTGCTTTATACATCTCTGTAAAGCAGGCTGCATCCTTGTAAGAGAGAGAGCCGTGTTGACACAGCTCAGTTCCTTGCAGTTGTGTAGCTCCCAGGTTACCGTGCTCTTTTCACTTCATTGGGAACATCAGTAATTTCACCCCGAGTGGTAGTTCCACCACTGCAATAACTCTGCAGTTCCAGTTTGTGCTCCAGACTTTTTTTGGCAGGCCTCCACCTGCCTTCCGAAGCTGTTCTGCATTAAAGCTTCTTCTTGTTCTCTACAGGTGGGACCTCTGCCTGACAGCCCCCACATATGTTGCAGAAGTCAGCCTGCCTGCTTAACAAAACTAATTTGGTCTATTCCTGCTTTCTTTCCATTTGCTAGTTTTGATCTGGGCCCAAGCAGAGGTCTTTGATCTGCTTGCTGTTTGAGAAGCCCTCTTGAGGCAGAAGCAATGAGGTGTGCTTTGGGAGATGGAAGGCCAAGTGGGTAACAACGGAGGTATCAAAAAGCTTCAAATTAAAGCTATAAGATGGCAGTGAAATAGGTCAGAGGACAAAATACATCCATTCAACCGAGTTCAGCCATACCTGGAAGGATGCAAGAAGATTTCTGTATTAAATGCTTATAAATACATACATTTGCACAGAGTTGGTAACTGACTCACCAGATGGAGTCATGTTGAGCCTGCCCAAAACACCACAGAGACAGATATGGTTCAGCCTACCCTTTGCCTACCAGTCCTGTCTTATTAGAATGTTCATTCTGCCAGAAACACCATCAAAGGCTCTATTCAACATTTTTATAGCTTCCTTTGTCAAGAAAGCCATTGTTACCACATGAACTGATGCATATTTTTGGTTTATTCTTATTCCCAGAGTTGAATAATGTGATGTAAGGCAAATGCAAGGTCCTATTTTCATGCTTTCTCTCTCTCCAGCTGTTGGTGGTAACATCATCCACTCCTTGTCAATCACACTGGCGAGCTGGTGCTCTATTGAGACCTTTTCTGTATTATGCAAGTCTGTTGAGACTGGACCTTTGTGCTGGTGAAGGCAGCAGTTTTGAGGTTTTCACTGATCTAACACACTGTTGTAGGGCTGATTCTGGCAAAGAAAGGTCTCACAGTTGTTTGGGCATATAAAAACTGGAAAATCAAACAAATCCTTATCTTAATACTTGATGTGTTTACAAAATTACCTTTGCACAGTTACATTTTCTAGCACTTTAATCCGGAAAGCAAGTTGATTAGCRGGCAGGTCAGCCCTGTAGAGCTGCTGCCATGTCAGCCACACTCTTCCCTTCTTTTCTCCTCTCTTCCCTTTTAAACCAAACTTTGTCATCACTGTGCTTTAAAATGGTAACCCATTTTGAACCTATAGCCAACTTTGGCACCAGTGGCATTGTCTTGTGGGATACCCTCCCATGTCTGTGTAAGATATCCATGGACCCCGGGATCCCATAAAACATGCCCTATTGGGATGTGAACCTTAAGACAACTAAGTGTTCTACAGTTGAACTCTGAAGAATATGTCAATTTTTTTTACTGGAAATCCTTTTTTCCCCCCAAATCTCCAGTTTGCTGGAAGTGCTAACAATTGTGACATATTTCTCTGTTTGTACCAGTTATGCAGAGGTGCTGTATAGCTGAGAAAATGTCAGAACTGCCATTTTCCATCAATGCAGGTTCAGAAATTGTAATTAGCCTTTCCAGTAGACTGAAGTCTAGCTAGAATAAAAGTTGTTCTGTACTATTTGCAAGGTGCAAGAGTCACTCATYGTGCAGCCACATCTCACAGCTTTTATGTCATGGTACTTTTTTCAAAGTTTGTCACTTCGATATGACTGCAGTATATGATATGAGGGATATGATAGAAATTAATACCTGAGAGGGATATGACTGAGAGAGATATGACTAGAAATTTTATCTATGTAAGAGTGCTCTGCTGTCTCCCTTGTACCCAAATAGATTTATCTCCCCTGCTAGCTGCATGTGATATCAGCAAGTGTCATTTTAGTAGGGACAAAGCAGGTTGTCTCTTATTCCTCGGAAGAAAGCAGTTCATTATCCTTTGCAGAGGCACATCGTGATAATGACTTTCAGTGTTGTAACCACTCAAAGATGCAGCTAAGCAATCATTCTTCTCATCACTCATCACTTCCCACCATATT